GTCTATTTTTGGTAAACATGCTCAGTGGAAGAGGATATGGTTAGCGTTCAAGAGTCTCTGGCTTCCATCTTAAGGCCCACCAAAAAGAAAGCCATAAACAGCCAGGTACCAGTGGCTCACGCCTGTTATTCTAGCTACTCATGAGGCTGAGATCTGAGGATCTCAGTTCAAAGCCAGCCCAGGCAGGAAAGGCCATAAGACTCATCTTCAACTAACTACCAGAAAGCCAGAAGTGGGCTGTGGCTCAACGTGATAGATTGCTAGCCTTGGGTGAAAGGGCTCAAGGACAGTGCCCAGGCCTTGAGTTCAAGCCCTATTACCAACAAAAAATAAAATTAAATAAAATGAGAAAGCCATAAACAAGAACCAGATCTGTTGAACCAGGTCATTGAAATTTCATTCCTGTCATTTATGACAAGGAGTCAGCAATTCTAGTTCTTTCTCTCTGCACAGGTGATCACCACGTGTCAGTGTCTCTTCTATTTTCTGAAATGTTGTTGACATTCTTTGTCTATTCGCATTTCTGTTCCAGGAGTTAATACATTTATAGTCTTTTTTTTGGGGGGGGGGTCCGGTCGTGGGGCCTCAACTTTGGGCCTGGGCGCTGTCCCTCATCTCTTCAGCTCAAGGCTAGCACTCTACCACTTGAGCCACAGCTTCACTTCCGGCTTTTTTCTTTTTGCTTATGTGGTGATGAGGAATTGAACCCAGGGCCTCATGCATGCAAGGCAAGCGCTCTACCACTGAGCCACCTTCCCAGCCCCGCATTTATAGTCTTTTAGACTTTTCTAGTCTTTATGTGTTCTGCTCTCCTATTTTGGGGGGTGGAGAGAAATCTGTGGAGTTTGACTGGAAGTCTTTCCTTTGTAGTTAAAGGCAATCTTCCTGATATATATTTTGTTGTAAGCCCTTTTTCTTTCTAGTTTTGTGTGCTTGTGTATGCCCTTGCCGTTTCCTTTGCCAAACTTACTTGAGTTTTGACGACACTGTTGGTCTTTATAATGAATTGATTTGGGGGAAGTTTCTTTTAAAGGTCTTTGACTATAATTTCAAATTTTTTAATAGCTTAAAAAGCCTTTTCTAATTCTATTACCCTCCTTCCAGCATTTCTTATTTCCTTTCATTCCAAGTTTCTTATATTAAGATTCTAGGTTTATTCGTGGCTACCTATGTTTTTTCCTCTAAAAAACAAACCATATTAAATTCAAATTTTCTGTAGTATGTGATCATATATTGGGTATTAAATGTTTCAGTTTTTTTTTCTTTTTTTGCAATTCTGGATTTTGAACTGGGCTTTGTGTTTACTAGGCAGGTATCCCTTAATTCCCCCCCCCCCTTTTTTTTGGGGGTTGTAGGCCTTGAACTTAGGGCCTGGGTGCTGTCCCTGAGCTTTTCTGCTTCAGAATATTGTTCTACTGCTTTGAGCCACAGTATCACTTCCAGTTTTCTGGTGGTTGCTTGGAGATAAGAGTCACATGGCCTTTCCTGCTTGGGCTGGTTTTGAACCACAATCCTCCGATCTCAGCCTCCTGAGTAGGTAGGATTACAGGTGTGAGCCACCAGCGCCCGGCAGCTTTAGTGTCCAGGCTGGCCTTGATATAAACCCTCCAATTTATGCTTCTATCGATTGGGTGACAGTGTTATATCACCATGCTAGCTTTTATTGGTTGAGATGAGATCTTCTGAACTTTTTCTCTAAGTTGGCCTTCATCCACAATCCTTCCAATTTCTACCTCCCAAGTAGCTAGGATCATAGGTGTTAGCTGCTACACCAGTCTCATTTCAATTTTATATCTTCTTTGTCCCCCAAATTATTTAGGAGACTGTTTTAAAAATAGGTTTCATTAGAGGATACTAGACTGATGTTTTGCTTTGGTGGTAGTTAGACAGTATTGCCTCTAGAATTTTTTTTTTTTTGAAATTTGTCATATTGTTTCTTATGGTTTAAAATATATTTTCTAAATATTCCATTAATTTGGCATCACTTAGCGATGATTGGTGGTTTGTTTCATTTCTTGTGTTATCTTTTATAAGCAAGAAGTATGGTTAGGAATATTTAGAAGTCTCCCTGCCTCCGTTACTTTCTCCTGTGGAGCTTCCAGAGGGCTGGGCTTTATTATCTGGATAATAATAGGGCCAAGACTGGGATGAAATTCCATACGGGAGCGTTCTCTTTATTCAGCCACTCCTGAAATTGCTGAGGCACTGAGCATGAAATCCAATATCCCACATAGCCTCGGGTGGGAATTCTTATTTGATCTAAGGCCATGGAACTGGTCAATTTGGATGTTTTAAGAGTTGTAGTCTTAAACATTTCTGTTTTCCTAAACAATTAAATTGGGCCTGTTCATCCTGCCATGACTTGGCTGTTTGCTCCTGGACATCTTTAATACATTCACTTTTTCCTTTAAAGGGAAATGGATCGCGTAATTGGCAAATGTGTGCCTCTTCTCTCTGTTTGCTTTTTGAGTTGTAGCTCATTGCTTTTCAGATTAAAAAAAAAATTCCATCAGTCAGTAAAAATACAGTGTCTGTACTGTGCTATAATAACAGGTAGGCAAATGCCATAATTCCTGTCTTTGGGGCTCATTCATAATACCAAGCTGAGGAAGATAGAGCTGGGATCAATGTAACTGAAAATGAATGTGATTCGTCGGGGAACACACAAATATGAAGGGAGCACAGAGGAAGATGCAGTTACCATTTGAGCATGGCGTTGCAGGTACTTGGGAGGCAGAAATAGGAGCATTGCTGTCTGGGTAAAACAATGCTAGACCCTATTTGAGAAAAAAAAAAACAAAACCTAAGTTAAGAGGGCTGGAGGCATGGCTCAAATGGTAGAGTGCTTCCCTAGCAAGTATGAAGATCTGAGTTCAAATACCAGTTTTTTTTTAAAAAACAATGTAGGAATGGGATATAGGGTTAGTGGGATAAGTTGGCTGGCTCTTAAAACAGGAGTAGGTGCCAGGTAGTGAAAGGACTGTGGACATTCTAGACGAAGGGAGCATTATGGTTTTAACACAGAAGGATGACAGTAAATACTCTTCTACAGGGCAAGTACTGTGTGGTTGGGATTTGGGATCAGTGAGGCAGGAGGAGTTGGTCAGGAGTCAGGCTGTTGTGTGTTGATTGACATATAAAAGGATCTGTACTATATTCCTGTATTCTGTGGACAGTGAGTTGCCATTGGAAGTCTGTAAGAATGAAATTAGATCTGACCTAATCTGTGTATGCCTTTTTCTTTTTTTCTCCTTTTTCTTTCTCTCTCTCTCTTTCTCTGTCTGTCTGTCTGTCTTTCTTTCTTTCTTTCTGTCTTGTCTTTCTGTCTTTCTTTTTTTTTTGTGTGTCCATTGTGGGACTTGAACTCTGGGCCTGGGTGCAGTCCCTCAGCTCTTCAGCTCAAGGCTAGTGCTCTACACTTGAGCCATAGTGCCACTTCCAGTTTTTTTTCTTCTGGTGGTTTTATTGGAGATAAGAGTCTCACAGACTTTTCTGTCCAGGCTGGCTTTGAACCATGATCCTCAGATCTCAGCCTTCTGAGTAGCTAGGATTACAGGCGTGAGCCACCAGCCCCTGGGTTTCCTTTCTCTTTCTTTCTTCCTTCCTTTCTTTCTTTCTTCCTTCCTTCCTTTCTTTCTTTTTTTAAATAAGTTTTTTATTGTGAAAATACTGTACAGAGGGGTTATAATCACATGAGCAAGGTAATGAGTACATTTGTTATCAAGCATTGTTGCCTCCTCCTTTGTTTTTCCCCTACCATCCCTTCCCTCCCATCTCCACAACTACGCCCTCCCACATCTAAATTGTAAAGTTTATTTTTTGACATAGCATCTTGTACATCTCATTATTGCATTGGGTCAACCTGTATCCCAATTTAAACAATTTGCTTTTTTCCTTCTGCTCCCCAAATTATACCAACATCAAATACAGTGAAAACAGGGATTATACTGTGGGGGAGGGACATACAAAGCAACAAAAAAAATCACGTGGTACCTTATAAATATGTTAGAAACAATAGCAAGAAAGAAAAAAACCACTTGTGTCCTTATCTTGGGGTTCATTTCGCTTAACATCATCTTATCTGACCTTTTCTGCTTGTCCCAGACATATACTAGTTATTGCAGATAAGGGCAACTATGGGACCTATGTTTCTTTGTGCCTGGCTTACTTCACTTAATTTAATTTTTTCCAATTCTTTCCATTTCCTAACAAATGGGGCGATGTCATTCTTTCTGATAGAGGCCTAGAATTCCATTGTGTAAATATACCACATTTTCTTGATCCATTCATCTACTGAGGGGCATCTGGGTTGGTTCCATATCTTAGCTATGGTAAATAATGCTGCAATAAACATAGTTGTGTTGGTAGCTTTAGTATGGTCTTGTTTTTGTTTTCTTTCTTTCTTGCTTGCTTGCTTGCTTGCTTTCTTGCTTGCTTTTTTTTGTCGGTGGTGGGGCTTGAACTCTGGGCTTCGGCGTTATCCCTCAGCTCTTCAGCTCAAGGCGAGTGCTCTACTGCTTGAGCCACATGGCCACTTCTGTTTTTTCTAGTGGTTTATTGGAGATAAGAGGCTCACAGACTTTCCTGCCCGGGCTACCGTTGAACCATGATCCTCATCTCTCCCCTGCCCCCTCTTTCTTTTTTTTTTTCTTTTTGGTGCTGGTACTGGGATTGAATTCAGGACCTGGACATTGTCAGTCAGGTTTTTTTTTCAAGGTTGGCACTCTACCATTTGAGCCATATGTCTACTTCCAGCTCTTTGGTGACTAATTAGAAATAAGAATCTCATGCTGCCCAGGCTGGTTAAAAACTGCAGTCCTCAGATCTCAGCCTCTTGTGTAGCTAATATTATAGATGTGAGCCACTAACACCTGATTTGACTTGTAGTGTGGTTTTCCAGTTTTGCTTCTCATGGTCAGTGTCTACTACTAGTTGAATGTGCCTCATCTTGCACTTGCCTTTTTTTTTTTTAACACGTGTGATTTATGATTCATATTTAGATGTCTGTGCCACTTGCCACGAGCATGCTACGTGCCAGTCAAAAGACGGCAAGAAGATCTGCATTTGCAACTATGGATTTGTGGGCAATGGGAGGACCCAGTGTATTGGTAAGCTTTGAATTATGGGTTACGTGGGACAGTTCAACCAGGAAACAGAGCTCTCCTGTATAAAAGATTGGATGTCTTTGTGGGGAAAACATTAATATTTGGTTCACATGTTTTTATTCCATAAAGGTTTGTCAGTTATAATAAGTCTTTGTTTTCATGTTTGGCTGTGTCCTTGTTCTGGTGTTTCCAGGCAATTAGGCCTATTGGAGATCATTGACCCTGAATCTCGAAACTCACTGATGTAACAAATCTCAAGTCTCAGGTTTTAACTTAACAACTCCAGTGATATTAATTTCTTTTTAAAAATCTTGATGTAAAACTATATTAGTATCATAGAGACAAACCACAATTGAACTTCTTAGTTAATTGAGAAAACTGAGCTTGCTTTCAGCTTTAGGTCTAATTAAATCCATCTCTGAAGTGTTGTAGTTGTGACCTTTGGAGACCTAGTGGACGTAAGGAACACAAAGGCTTAGGCTAGAGGCAACTGAGATGATTTTTGGTCTCACGACACTCATCCATGCCAGTCAGATAATACCTGGATTTGAGTTCCATTCAGAGTGGGCATGAGTTTCTCAGCTGTGTGAGGAAATGTGACCATAGTCTCTTCTCAGCATCCTTGTTACCCACAGGAAAAATACTGAGAGCTGGGCCTTGTCGCTGTGGATAGGCAGAAAGCACCATGCGGTGTTCTGCCACCCAGCTGTGTGCCTGACCTAGCTATGGACCGAGGGTTCTGGCATTGAGCTTCCAGGCAAAGGTTACCACTTTTACCTATGAATTGTTAGAGCTTCATTTGTAGTTTCTACTTAATTATGTATTCTATTATTATTATTATTATTTTGTGCCAGCACTAGAGCTTGACCTCAGGGTCTGGGAAGCTCAAGGCTGGCGCTCTACCACTTGAAGCATAACCCTACTTCTGGCATTTTGGTAGTTAACCGGAGATAAGAATCTCATGGAGGCTGGAAGCCAGTGGCTCCAACTTTAATCCTAGCTACTCAGGAAGCTGAGATCAGAGGATCACAGTTTGAAGCCAGCCTGGGTAAGAAAGTCCATGAGACTCTTATATCCAATTAAATACAAAAACCCCCCAAACAACCCAACCCCAAAAACAACAACAACAACAAAAAAGCAAAAGTGGAACCGTGACTCAAGTGGTAGAGCAGTAGCTATGAGCAACAAAACCCAGAAACAGTGCTCAGGTCCCACATTCAAGCCCTAGGACTTGCATGTCCCCTCCAAAAAAAATAATGTGAGAAAAAGCATGTGTGTGGAAAATACACAGACTTTTTGGAGGGTATTGTGTGTGTGTGTGTGTGTGTGTGTATACAAGGCCTGAGGCTCGAACTAAGGGCTTTGTGCTTTTGTTTAGCTTTTTAACTCAAGGCTACACTCTGCCACTTGAGACACCTCCACTTCCAGCTTTTTGTTGGTTAATTGGAGATAAGAGTCTCTTGGATTTGTCAGCCTGGGCTGGCTTTGAACTTTCATCCTCAGATCTCAGCCTTCTGAGTAGCTAGGATAATAGGTGTGAGCCTCTGGAGCCTGGCTTGGGGATATTTTTTGAGTTTGCTGAAATCGAGTATAATTGTGGAAGACAAACTGACTTGAGGGAGCCATGGTAAAATAAAATATCAAATAACAAGCAAAATAACTAAATCAGAATCCTTGCATTGATGCTCACCCCCATCCCCACCCCCCCCAGGGGAGGGGGAAACAGTTTTGGGTAGATCAAGTCTAAAAGGAAAAGTAAGAAAATCTCTCTCAGGAGTTTTCCAGGGCAGAGCTGGCGCACTATGGCCCATGAACCATGCTTGACCCACTGTGGTTGTAAATAGAGTTTTATTGGAACCAAGCACTGCTCCTTTGTTTACTTACTTTTTATGACTGCTTTGGACTCTCCAACCATGAGTGAATGCAACAGAGACAATGAGAAAAAGTTTGCTGGCCCCTGGGCAAGAGGACAGAGATGGGAAAGAGAATGACTTCTATTTGCCTCTTTCAATTTCATGCTGTTTAATTAAGACCACTCAGGGCGTCCTCAGCATCTATATTTCAGGCCCTCTCCACTGGGCTAGCATGAGCTGTTCCTGCCTCACCATTAGCGCTGCTCAGGTTCAGGCATCTGCACTAACTAAGTCCATTGTTTCCTGGGAGCTCATGAGGGACAAAGTTTATAGTTTGATTACTGGATATAAAATCTTTCTCCTCTGGCATTCGTGAAAGACCAAGAAAATGACTGAACTGGAAAAAAAATGGATTCTGCTGGGTAGTTTCTCCAGGTGTATCAAATAAAATATATTTTTTAACATTGTTACTAGTGCTTTGTTTTGAGACAGCGTTCATTTTGTAGGCCAGGCTGGCCTGAAACTTGTGATCATCCTGCCTCAGCCTCCTGACTGCTGAGATTGCAGGAGTTTACTACCCTGCCCAGATAGTTATTGTTGTTAGGATGATGATGATGATGATTATGATTTTGGTGCTGGGGATTAAACCCAGAACTTGCACTTGCTAAGGACATTTACCACTGAACTGTGTCTCCAGCTCTTAATATGTTTGTATGTTAGTATATACATATAAAATACTTATATATTTAAAAAGTATATAATAACATATATATAATATAGGTCAACTTCATCTATCTATAATTTATACATATATATATTCTTTAATTTCTTTCTTTCTTTCTTTTTTTTTTTTTTGTCGGTCATGAGGCTTGAACTCTGGGCCTGAGTGCTGTCCCTCGGCTCTTCAGCTCAAGGCTAGCACTCTACCACTTGAGCTACAGCGCCACTTCCAGTTTCCTGGTGGTTTATTGGAGATAAGAGTTTCACAGACTTTCTTGCCTGGGCTGGCTTTGAATGGCGATCCTCAGATCTTAGCCTCCTGAGTAGCTAGGATTACAGGTGTGAGCCACCAGTGCCCAGCTAATTTCTTTTTTTTGGTACCAGCTCTGAGGCTTGAACTCCAGGCCAAGGTGCTCTCTTTGAGCATTTTTGCTCAAGGCCAGTGCTCTACCACTTGAACCAGAGCTCTACTTCTGGCTTTTTTTTTTTTTGGTTGTTAATTTGGAGATAAGAGTCTCACCAACTTTCCTGCACTGTGATCTTCAGATCTCAGCCTCCTGAATAGCTGGGATTACAGGAGTAAGCCACTGATGCCTGGCAATTCCATATATTTTGAATATATAATAACACACATATATACACACAGCTAGATAGGAAAAAAGATAGATAGATAAATTGTGTTTCTTTTGTCGCTTGGTATACTCCTACTGGTTGCATCACTGAAGGTCCTGAGTTTGAGAAGCGGTGTGAGGGGAGAGAGGTCAGGGAAATGACAAATAAGCTGTAGTCCCAGAATCCTGAGACCGAGTCCTCAGCACGGGAGGAGTCTGGGCTTTTGAACATGGGGTGGATGAGGATCCTTTTCTGTGTGATGTGTCTCTGTATCTGCAGATAAAAATGAGTGCCAGTTTGGAGCCACCGTTGTCTGTGGGAACCACACATCCTGCCACAACACACTGGGAGGCTTCTACTGCATCTGCCTCGAAGGCTATCGGGCCACAAACAACAACCAGACGTTCATCCCTAACGATGGCACCTTCTGCACAGGTATACAAATGGGGGCGTAGTGCTGGCCACCTGCTGACAGTGTCTTCTCTGTGGAGGAGACAGGACAGCCTGTGGCCTAGGACAGGGACCTTCCTTCAGAATAACTATGATGCTGGGGGCTGGGATATGGCTGCAGTGGGGTAGAGCACTTGGTAAGGCCCTGAATTGCAAAACAAACAAAACCAGAATAACTATAATGCTGAATGTGGTGGTGTTCACATATAATCCTAGCCCTGCGGAGGCTGAGGCAGGAGGATTACAAGTTTGATAATCTCGAACTCAAGACTAGCTTGAGTTATACATGAGACCCTGTCTCAAAAGTTCACCTGTAACCCTAAGTACTCAGGAGGCTGAGAGTTGAGGATCGTGGTTCAGAGTCAACCCTGGGCAGGAATGTCCATGAGGCCCTTATCTCCTATTAACTACCAGAAAACCAGAAGTGGAGCTGTGGGTCAAAGTGGTAGAGCACTAGCCTTGAGCAAAAGAGCTCAGGCACAGCACCTAGGCCCTGAGTTCAAGCCCATATACAAAAAGAAACCTCTATTCACGTGTAGTACAATCATTTTGGACTAATGACACCTGTATTAAACTAGTGATTTATATGGTATTTCACTTCTATAACATTCCACTGCATGAAGAGAGACAAAATGTACTTCACTCATCACACATGCTCATTCTTTTATGTTCATAAAAATAAACTCCAGAGAGAAGTACAAGTTGTCATGTCCAAAACGAGCTTTACAATGTCGGTGCGGGGTGGGGAGGGGGGGCGGGGTGGGGGAGGGGGAGGAAGGAGAAGGATTGGGATTGGGGGGGAGGGGGGAGGCTGGGAAGGGATGTGAAGGGTAAACAAAGGAGGAGGCTGCAATGCTTGGTAAGAAATGTACGCATTATCCTGCCCATGTAATTGTAACCCCTCTGTACAGTATGTTCACAAATAAAATAAAATTAAATTAAAAACAAAAACTCCAGAGAAATGAAAATTCATCTCCATAAACTTATACTTGAATGTTTGTAGTAGCTGAAATTGTAAACAGCCCAGATACCCATCAATACGAGGATGAGTAAACAAATGATACATTCACATAGTGGAGTACTACTCAGCAATAAAAATATTTAAAAAATCCAGAGGAAGTAGGCCAGGCATGGTAGGTCAAGCTTGCAATTCTAGTTTCTTGGGAGGTGGGATCTGGAGGATCATGGCTCAAGGCCAGTCTGGACAAAAAAGTTTAGGAGATAAGATTCCATCTCAACTAATGGTTGGCCATGGTAGTGTGCACCTGTTATTTCAGAGACAGAGAAGCATAATGCCTGAGCACGATTGCTTGCATGTGTCATCAAGCTATGTATCAAACAGGAGGATCACAGTGCAGGCCAGCTCAGGCATGAAGTACAACTATATTAAAAAAAAAAAAAAAAAAAGACCAATGCAGTGGAAGTGTGCTCAAGTGTTAGAGTGCTAGCCTTGAGCAAAAAAGCTCAGGAACAGTGCTTAGGACCTGAGTTCAAGTCCCAGGACCAGCACACACACACAGAGAAAGAGGGGCAGGGGGAGAGGGAAAGAGAAAGAGAGAGTGAGTTAACCAATGCAAAAAGAAGTGGCTGAGTGGCTCAAGGAGTATAGTACCTGCCTAGCAAATATGAGATCCTGAGTTCAAATCCTAGTATTGTCAAGAAGAAACAATGGCAATTGTGTTGACAAAATCTTGAAAACATATTGAATGAAAAAAGTTACACCCAAAATGTTTGTACTTAAATATCTAATTTGTACAACATCAGGCCAAACTAATTTTTTTTTTTTTGTCAGTCATGGGGCTGCAACTCTGGGCTTGGGCGCTGTCCCTGAGCTCTTCAGCTCCAGGCCAGTACTCTATCACTTGAGCCACAGCACCACTTCTGGTTTTCTGGTGGTTTATTGGAGATAAGAGTCTCATGGACTTTTCCTGCCTGGACTGGCTTTGAATCACAATCTTCAGATCTCAGCCTTCTGAGTAGCTAGGTTTACAGGCGTGAATTACCAGTGCACAGCTAAGGTCAAACTAATTTTATGGAGATAGAAGTTTTAAAAATGGTTGCTAAACCAGGTGCTGGTGGCTCATACCTTTAATCCTAGCTACATAGGGGTTGAGTTCTGAGAATTGGAGTTCAAGGATAAGCCAGCCCAGACAGGAAAGTCTGTGAGACTCTTGCTCTAATAAACTACCAGCAAACTGAAAATGTGCCGTGGCTCAAGTGGTAGAGTGCTAGCTGTGAGCAATAAAGCTCAGGAATAGGGCCCAGGCCCTGAGTTCAAGCCCCATGACCAGGAAAAAAATGCCTTTTATGCTGGGCGCCGGTGGCTCACGCCTGTAATCCAGGCTACTCAGGAGGCTAAGATCTGAGGATCTGGGTTCAAAGCCAGCCCGGGCAGGAAAAGCTGTGAAACTCTATCTCCAATAAACCACCAGAAAACTGGAAGTGGCGCTGTGGCTCAAATGGTAGAGCACTCGCCTTGAGCTGAAGAGCTGAGCCCAGAGTTCAAGCCCCATGACCAACTTAAAAAAAAAAAAAAGCGTTTTGTAGCATTCAAATCCAATAGTCCAGCCAAATAGCTTCTAAATGTGTGTGTGCACACATGTGTGCATTTGTGTACTGCACACACATTGCACTGTTCATGCTAAGTAAGGAAGAAATATGTATGAGCCACTATGAGTCAGGAAGAATTGAGTCTGTAGACAGGATTAATCCAAGTAATAGCTAGCCTTTACTGGGGCCTTATTATCCGCAATTATATTGGCTTCATATACTCGGCTAAGTACTTTCCACCTGTGTCTTATTTAATCCCCACAAAAACACTTTCTTTTACATCAGAGGTTTAGATTCAGGGTTAAGTGCAGTTAGTGATGTCAGTTGGTTAACCTGACTCTGACTCCTACACTCACATTAATCTGAAGGGCTAAATATGGAAGAGTGGGGTCCTGGGTTCAAGTCAGAGCATCTTGTTAGGTTTCCTAGTAGTGATCAAAATGAAATAATCCTGCATAGAGAATGGGAGACAAGGAGGACCCCTCTGACATCAGGCTGCTGGGGACATGTACCCCAGATCCCTTGGGCCAGCTGTTGTCAACAAACCATAAAGTAACACGTGTTAACCAAGGTCTGGAGGTGTGGAGGAATCAGAGCCTTTGTTTGCTCTTGGTAGAAGATGATGTGTTAGACCCATGATGGAAAACAGAATGATAGTTTCCTCAAAGCATAAAAGTGAAATGGCTGGCTACCAGTGGCTCACACCTGTAATTCTAGCTACTCAGGAGGCTGAGGATCATGGTTCAAAGACAGATCAGGCAGGAAAGTCTGTGAGACTCTTACTTCCAGTTAACCACCAAAAAGCTGGAAATGGACCTGTGGCTCAAGTGGTAGAGTACTAGCCTTGAGACAAGAAAAAAAATGCTCAGAGACGAGCCTAGGCCCTGAGTTCAAGCCCCAAGAAGGCATACACACACACACACACACACACACACACACACACACACACACACATACTGACCATGTGATCTCACAATTCTCCTTCTGAGCATCTACCTAAGAGAATGGAAGACAAAATGTAGAAGGCATATTTGCATACTTTGAAATAGCTAAGATGGTCACATTTCCTGTCAATTTTGCCATAATCATTGGTGGGCATGCTCACACAATTGAAATGTAGTGGCATAGTGGTTAAGAACATGGATGTTAAGGTACATACTAGCTTTGAATCCTGTAGTTTCAGCTCTTAGCCGTGTGTATAATTACCTTTGGACCAATTACTTAGCCACTCTGGTTTAGGTACCGCAGAATGAGAGTGATAATAATATGGACCTCCTGGGGTTATTGTGAAGATTGAATGAGATGAAAATAATATTTAATAGATTCTGAAGTGTTCAGAACAGTACCAGGCATGCAGATGATGACATGCAGAAATTATTGCTGTTCATTATGATTATGACTCTGATTGCTCTGGGAATGCTGAGTGACGGTCCACAAAGCTATGTGATTAATGACTGGGCCACTAGCCAGAGGCCCAAGTCTTTTCCACACTCTGCCATGTTTTACTTCCTCACTCCCCCCCTCCCCCAAATACACGGACTGTTTATTTTTAGAAGCCCATAGAAAAGTCCTTAATTATTTTCTTACTCAGTATTGTTTTGAGATTTTTGGGGCAGATTGATAGACTGTATGGCTGGTCCTGCTCTGTTGACTAACTTTATTGTGTAAAGATGCAGAAAACTTGCTGATTAACTTTACAGTGGGGCTACAGTGAGGACAAGTTCCCAACTGAATAAAAAGCAACATCTCACTAAAGTAGAAGGATGAGCCAAACCTGCGATCGGTAAAGACTTCTCCAGTGTTATCTATAATATTTGTGCCAGACTGATATTGATTCTGTTTTGTGTTACTTATATTTTAAGAATCTTTTCATAACAATTACCTAAAACTCTGGAGGTATGTTATCAACAGCTATTTAGCTCTGTTGTATTGGTTTTATAGCTCCTTGTTCTGTATGGGCCTGAACTCAGGGCCTGGACATTGTCCCTGAGCTTTGTCATTCTGGTTTTTGGTGGTTAAATTGGAGGGAAGAGTCTCATGGACTTTCCTGCCTTAGCTGGCTTTGAACTATAATTCTCATATCTCAGCCTCCTGAGTAACTAGGATTATAGGCATGGCCCACCAGTACCCAGTTTTGTGGTATCTTTGTTTCCTACACACACATACATATATATTACTGGCTGGTTTTTTTTTTTTTCAGAAAAGAAATATCAGTGGTGTAATTCTTAAACTTGTATCCTAACATGTCATTTCTTTCCTTAAAAGCATGATGTTTTGTTCCCCTTTTCTTAGAACTCTGCAAGCATTACTCCAGTACTGTATGGGTTGTAGTGTTTCAGACAGGGCTACTATTCCTTTCCTCTGAAGGGTGATTTTCTTCTTACTTAAAGAGATCCAGAATACCTTTCATTTCTCTTCATAGATACACATACATATATATACATATATATCCATAAACTATATACATATATAGAGAGAGAGTTAGTATAAAGGTGATATACAGAGGGATTACAGTTATATGTCAGGACTAAGTACATTTCTTTTTGGACAATCTCACCTCTTCCCTCCCTCTCTCCCAGTTTTTCCCTCCCATCCCCACTTTATGTATATTTTGTGGGTGCTGAGAATCAAACCCAGCCCTTATTCATGTTGGCAATCACTCTATCTCTGAGCCCCAGGCTCCTCCCTTTAAACAACAGCTTCTTTTAGGCGTAACTCACATTCCCTAAAATGTACCCATTTCAGTGCTACATTTAGTGTGTGTATATTCACAGAATTCTACAAACATCAGTACTACTTTCAGAAGCTTTCATCCCCCTTAGAAAAAGACCCCATACCAAGTGTCTTTCCTCTCCCCCTCTTTTTCAGGTTTAAGCAGCTTTGCATCCACTTTCTTTCCTGGAGGGGTTGTCTCTTCTGTAGGCTTCTTATCAATGAGATTATGAGATCCAAGTCCTTTATATTAGACTGAGGGTGTTTTTGTTTTTGTTTTTGTGTGGGTACTGGGGCTTCATGCACTTGTTTGGCTTGTTCTTTTTTGATTTTTCACTCAAGGCTGGTACTCTACCACTTGAATCACAAATCAGGTGTTTGGATGGTTAATCAGAGATAAAAATCTCATAGACTTTCCTGATTAGGCTGGCTTTGAACCAGGATCCTCAGATTTCAGCCTCCTGAATAGATAGGATTATAGGTGTGAGCCTCCAGTGCTTGACTTAATTACCTTCTTACAACCTGTAACACTATCTCATGCCCCTGAGCTGGAAAGCTGTTTGTCAGTTCCTAGTATTTTTTTTGGGGGGGGAGGGGGACTGGTGCTCAAGATTGGTCCTTGTACATGCTAGGCAAGCACTCTATTGCTGAGCTATCCTGTACCCACCAACTCCTTAGAATTTTTCATTCTGGTTTAAATTGTTTTATGTTGTAGTTCTATTTTAGATATTCTGGGGTTGTAACTATCATAATTTAAATTACTATGTAATTTAATTGTGTGTGTGTGTATGTGTGTGAAAGGCGGGGGGAGAGAGAGAGAGAGAGAGAGAGAGATCAACCCCAGGGCCTTGTGCATGGTAGGCAAGCCCTCTACTACTGAGGTTTTATTTATTTGTTTATTTTGTTTTTTGTTGGTGCCAGTCCTGGGACTTGACCTCAGGGCCTTGAGCTCTTGTTTTTAACTTGAGGCTAGCTCTGTACCACTTGAGCCACAGCTCTCCTTTCAGCTTTTTGCTTGTTAATTGAAGAATCTCACTGTCTTTTCTGTGTAGGCTAGCTTTGAACCATGATCTCCAGATCTCAGCCTTCTGAATAGTAGGATTACAGGTGTGAGCCACCGGCACTCATCTGGTTTTGGCTTGTACAAATTCCCAGAAGATATTGACAAGAATTTATGGGGCACTGCCTATGTGTTCAACGCCTATAATGTGAAGGATATATAAAAAGAACCTTCAGGGAGTAAGATAAAATTCATGATACCATTGCAAACAAATGCACTCAAGGCTAAGAGTACGTTGAGAATGTGAGAACATGTCTCCGTTTTGTTTTGGTCTCCAGACATAGATGAGTGTGTGGTGTCTGGTGTGTGCGGGAATGGAGGACGGTGTGTCAATACTCCTGGAAACTTCGAGTGCTACTGTGTTGATGGATACTTGCCAACAAATGGACCTGTGCCTTTCCACCCGAGCAGAGATGGTACCCGGTGTACAGGTGGGTGTTGGCCTATGAATGTGGCTTCTTGTGAGATTCTGTGCAGGGGACTTTTCCACACTGATGTCTAGAGTTCTGTGTTGGGGATGAGAATGGTGATTATCTTTGTATGAAACAAACAATGGCCTAATGAAGATAGAAGGGGGTCATGTTAACAAGTGAAAATTAGCAAGCTTCAGGAATCAATAAACTCCAGTGGTTAATAGATATCTTGGTTTGGGCCACTATGTTAGCTGATTCACACAGCTGATTGGTAAGAATTGAACATCCCCAAAATGCCCCTGAAATCTATAAAGCCCTATGTATCTCAATGTATTTTGCAGTTAGTATGAATTAGTGAAGATCTATTACTCTTTTTCTTGTTGTTGTTAATTGAGATTTTTTTTTTCTTTTGTCAGTTGTATAGGGCTTGAACTCAGAGCCTGGGTGCTATTCCTGAGCTTTTTTTCTTCACTCTACCACGTTGAGCCACAGCACCCTTTCTGACTTTCTGGTGGTTAATTGAAGATAAGAGTCTCAGGGTTACCCCTCTGTACAGTATTTTCACAATTTAAAAAAAAAAAAAGAGTCTCAGGGTTTTTCCTGTCCTGGCTGACTTTGAACTGCTATCCTCAGATTTCAGCCTCTTGAGTAGCTAAGAAAATAGACATGAGCCACTAGTGTCCATCTTGAGATAGTTTTTATTTGAAAATATCCTAACAATACATCCTAGGATTAAAAATAAATAAATCTCAGACTTGTTGCAATATACATACTTTCTAATTACATCAAATACATTTTCACATCACAGCCCAGCAGTCAGAGATTTCACTTTAATTTACATGATAAAAGACAAAAGACTTACATGAAGAAGTCTGTTTTATTTTTTTTTAAGTTTCCTGCATGCTATTATCTATGAAAGTGCAAAAGACCACATAAAGATAATCATAGGCAATGTGAGTAGAAATCACATAATTAACTTAAATATATATAAAATAGGATTTGAGGTATACAAGGGAAATGGGTTAGAGGTAGGGAGAGAGTGTGAACTTTGAACATTTATCTTCATGGAGTAATGTATTCAACATGCATTTATTTTCAGAAATAGACTGTGGCCCGGCTCTGGAGATCCCGGGTGGCTTTGTCATAGGAAACTACACATCTAGACTGGGCAGCCAGGTTCATTATGGATGCAAAGAAGGATTTTTCAGTGTCCCAGAAAATACAGTTTCAAGCTGCACAGCCCTGGGCACGTGGGAGGCTCCCCAATTACATTGCCAAGGTGAGGTTTCAAATGGTACCAGCTTCCAGTTCTTGACATTGTCTTCTTATTTTTCTCTGAATTTCACTTTGTGGAGTAAATGTGTTATATAAATTCCATACATCCCTATTTTTTTTCAAATAGGTTTTCGGTTGGTTCTCTTGGCATTTTCAGGACTAAGAAGACCCTGCCATCTGTGTATAGTGATGCTTCCATCTTTTATTCTAGATTTATAAAAGTCTCATTTTTATTTCTCTGTTGCTTTCTTTTCTTACATCTTCCTTTCCTTTCCCTTTTCTTTTACTGCCAAAACAAACAACAACAATAAAATTCCTAAAACAGAACTATTGTATGATCCAGCTAATCTACTGGTGACAATCCAAAGGCTATAAATTAGTGTATCAAGGAGCTATCAAGGAGATATCAGATTGTGTTTTCACAATAGGTAGTCAATGCTATCAACTTATGTGTCTATCAGCCGATGTATGGATAATGAAAAGTGGCACTAACACACACACACACACACACACACACACACACACACAATATTGAGGCATAAAAGAGTGTTATTCTGTTATTTGCAGCAACCTGAGTGGAATAAATTAAATAAAATGAGCCAGTCACAGATAAGCACTGCATGTTCTTAGTTATATATGGGATTTAAAAAAAGTTGATCTCACCAAAGTAGAAAATAGAATCATGCTCACTGGAGCCTAACAAGTGTTCTCCAGTAATATAGGGTGACTACACTTTACAACAGTTTTTCATTTATTTGACGAAGAACTGGAAGAGAAGAATTCAAAATTTCCACCACAAAGAAAGGATAACGGTCAAGGAGATGGCTTGCTACGTTCCCTGATGTCACCATGCCCATTAGCAGATGCCCCATAAATAGGGAAGGTTACATATCAATTTAGAAAAGGAAAACGCAGCATCATGCACATGTAAGAAGCATCTAAGGATTTATAGAGTGAACCCCATGGGAAAACAAGTAGTCAGCTAGAGTGAGGATTCAGACGAGATCGGGCGCGTTCAGGGTGGTATGGCCGTGGACTAGAGTGAGGATTCAGAAAGAATTTAGAGGCGAAGGCTTGTTTCTTCTCCCCAAAGAACTGTTATGGCAGAGACCCTGGCTGCTTCCTTCTTCCTGCAATGACTTCCTTCTGCATGCTCCCACCCCACCCCTCCCCGTCAGCGCATGGCCACTGCTTCTCACCGCTGTGTCTGTTTCTCTCAGAAAACACCCCCTCTTCTGACTTCTCCTTTCGTCTTCTTCACACTCCAGAGTCTGGGCCATGTGCCAGCACACATGGTATTTTTAGCTCAGTGTTCTGAAGCCACAGGAATTGGGGATCCCACTGCACATACCAGCAAAATATGAGCTTGGTTTCTGCCGAAGAGCGGGTGCTTGTGCACGGGGCACTGTGGGACACACCTCATGTGGGCAGCCTTTTTTTTGTCCAAACTTGCGCTTCTCCCATACGATCAGGTACTACAAGTGGATGGTGGATGGTGGGGGATTGTTGGGCTTTTCCCTGTCCCTGAGCAGAAGTGGGGGTAAGGGGAGGAGGCTGTAACCTGAAGCCCCCATCCCACTGGACCTCAGAGATAGTAGCTGGAAGTGAGGCCTGAAAGCTTTAGATGGCAAGAGTTCTTGGGAAAGGATTTAGGTAGAAACTATTAACATGCCAGTATGCATTTCTATGAAATCTCTGGAAAATTTAGCAATCTCTAGCTGGTATTTCCTATTAGCCTATTCTTGTTATTATTTGAAAAGAATTTTTCAGGAGAGATGCAAGCTGATAGTGGCAGCATCAAGAATTTAAATGGTGGAATTTCACAAGCCCTGAGCAAGGGGAGGGAACCATGTGAACTATATTGTTGTTAACAAATATGGGGTCCAGGTCTACCAAAGACACTGATAAGACAGCCTAGAGTCTGAAATAGGTCTAAGTTCACTACTGTCTATTTGTATTAAAGGTGAGATCTTGAGTGTTGTGTGGGAAGAATGTGAAAAGCATGGAAGGGCTGGGCATTGTGGCTCACACTTAGTAATCCTAGCTACTGGGAAGGCTGAGACCTGAGAATCACAGTTGGAAGCCAGTCTGGTCAGGCTTCCTTCCAATTAACCACCAAAAAAGCTGGAAGTGAAGCTGTGGCTCAACTGGTAGAATTCTAGCCTTGAGAAAAAGCTCAAGGACTTCACCCAGGCCCTAGTTCAAGCCCAGGACTGGCAACAAAGTGTGTAGAAAGGGATGGTGTGGTAACATGAAAGACATGGCATGTGTGCCCTTCCTTTGAGCACAGAGGAGTTTTGCCCACCTGTAGGAGAGTCCAGTGAGGAGAGGGTACCATGTTGGCAGACCAATTGGAGGGTTCTGGAAACATTTATCTTCCAGATAGGATTTGCTAAATAGGACCTTGTTAGGCTAGAATTCTGGCCATCGGTATGTCTGATCCTGACCGGTCCCTATTTGAATCCACGTCAGTTCTTTCCTTCTGCAGTGCATTCTCCACATAGCACTTTTCTCTACTTGAAATTGAAATGCCTGGGGCTGGGAAGGTGGCTCAGTGGTAGAGCGCTTGCCTTGCATGCCTGAGGCCCTGAGTTCGATTCCTCAGCACCACATAAGCAAAAAGAAAAAAGCCGGAAGTGGCGCTGTGGCTCAAGTGGTAGAGCGCTAGCCTTGAGCTGAAGAGCTGAGGGACGGCACCCAGGCCCAGAGTTCAGGCCCCACGACCGGATTGAACCCCCCCCCCCTCAAAAAAAAAAAAAGAAATTGAAATGCCTCCCTGTTTAATACACACACAGACACACATACACACACAGACACAGACACACACACACGTATATTGGTGGTGCTAGGGCTCAAAGTCAGAGTCAATGATCACAATAATGTTTGTAACTCACATGACTAAAGGGCATATTTTAAAAAATAGAATATATTGGTGGGTGCTGTTGGCTCATGCCTGTAATCTTGACTACCCAGGAGACTGAGATCTGAGGATTACAGGATTTTTTGTTGTTTGGTTGGTTTTTTATGCAGTCCTGGGACTTGAACTCTGGCCCTGGGTGCTGTTCCTGGGCTCCTTTTGCTCAAGACTAGCACTCTACTACTTGAGTCGCAGTGTACTTATGGCTTTTTCTGAGTCTCACAGACTTGCCTGCCTCGGCTGGCTTCAAACCTCGAACCTCAGATCTCAGCCTCCTGAGTAGCTAGTATTATAGGCCACTAGCACCTGGATTAAGGATCACAGTTTGTAGTGGCCTAGACTAGAAAGTCCCTGAGACTCTTGTCTCCAATTAATCACCAAAAAGCTGGAAGTAGAATTGTGATTCAAGTGTAGAGCAACAAACCTTGAGTAAAAAAGCCATGTGAGTATGAGCGGCCCTGAGTTTAAGCCCCAGTCCTTCCTCTTCCCCCCACACCCACATATATACCTTATAAGATATAGGCATGGCCTACAAAATCCTACCATGTAGTGGGAGAGAGAATAAAGTATAAGTATTGTGTTGAGTTATGTGGTTCAGATAGGTGGATAGAATAGACTTCGGCGTTTAATACGCCTGGACCCTTGGGCTCCATAACTCCCCACATTTCACTGATTTCCAGGTGATACATAAGCTTTTGATTCTCAGGCCTGATTGAGATATTTCTACTATTTCTGGATAAAAATGAAAACTGTGATTGTCTTCAGTTTTCTCCCTCATGTCTATTACAGGCTTAGTATGTCTGTTCTTTTGTGGAGCTTTGTCCCTAGTATTTGTTTGTTTTTCTAGGAGTTTTGGGGGAGGTCAGAATCAATAAGTGGTCTAGGTCTATTATTCCCCTGGCAGTTGGCGAAATATTGGCCACAATTTATGGGCACTGTCTGTCATTTTCTTTTCTGTCAAAGCTTATTGTCTATCGATCTCTACCAGTCTTAGATGAATTGCCTTATGTCAGGATGTCCTTTCTATTATCAATCCCTGATATTGTGCTGAGATTTATAATAAACAGTCATTCAATGTGGGTGACGTTCATGATACAGCAGTCAGCTGTTGATTAGGTGTATTCATTGCCTGTTCCTTTCATCACACAGATTTCCTTCTAGAATATTGTCTTGGGTAGAATGAAAACCCTACCTCAAGATCTAAAATTAATTTTCCATTATACATTTGGGCCTTAGAACAGTCACAATACTCCCTCTTCCTCCCTAGGGAGACCTATTTTGAAATTGATGATTTCCGATAAAAATCACAGACAGTGGGAGAGTAAGAAAAGTCCCCAGCCATGCTCCTAATTAGTCAACTGAATTCTGGATGCAGATTCCAATGTGCTTATTTAATAATACAATTAGCCCGAGAAACATGCCCTCTAATGAACACCTCTGTGCATATGCTATGCAAATTTGTGCTGCATATTTTCCCTTTCCTTTGCATACACACTTTTAAAGTGTTTATCTCCTTGTGACAGTAAGAGCTGCAGGAAGGTAGGAGTCTGTGTGTATTACTTTTTAAGATCTGTTGGTTTGACTGCTGCATGTTTCTTAGTAGGAACTGCCTACTTTCCTAGGTGCCCTAGTATGGTAAGAATGCCCGTGGCAGGGTCACACTCTGGCAGGAGACCCAGGTCTACTCTTACACCACAGGACTCTACACACCAGTATCAAGAAGATCTGGGGGAGGGGGTTTCACACAGTTATGGGGAATGGGTAGTCTACGTCTAGCAATTTTCTTGCTCTGGGAACACATTCAGAGACAAGATTAGAGGCTTGCCATAGAGACTTCTAGAATGATTAGCCTACCTATATGGCCAGTCTTACTCAGGGATTGGAGAGGAGCTCTTCATCGTGAGGCTACCAAGACTGAGTGGACTTGACCTGGGGTTCTCACAAACCACAGTCTGACTGTTGCCTCCAGCTGTTACTGGAAGTATGACTGTTGAACGTGCATTAAGTACTGAGGGCCTCTATTTTCCTGTCAACTCCTTGAGACAAAAACACATCTGCCTTGCATAGTTTTCTGTGGGGAATAGATAAGATAGTATAAGTCTTTATCAAACAGATGACGTTGTGTCCAGGAGGATTTTTAATTACTGAGCAGGTTTCCTAGGCTTCCTCAATACCAGGCTGATATTATTTTTTTGTGGGTTATTTTCTCAGCTAGTTTCTGCCTAGTGTTTGGTAGGTATGAGTTATCTCTGCTGGGTAACAAACGTGGAAGTTATGTCTTTCTTCCTATTTATACTTATAAATTTAGTGATGTCTGTTTTCTTTTCTCAGGGATGTTATCATTTCAAAGTAGTATTTATTATCTGGGCATGCTAGCTCAAGCTTATAATCCTAGCTACTCCAGATGTGGAGGTTAAGAGGCCCATGGGAGATTGGGAGGCTTATAGTTCAAGGCCATACTGGGGGAAAAATGTTTTTGAAACTCCATGTCAACCAATTAAAAACAACCATCAATAACAAAAATAAAACAAAACTGAGTGCACTCGGTCATTCCAGTCACCCCAAGAATGAGCCACTTCACTCACTTGAAGGGAATAGATTTGTTCATGTCTTTCCAAGAGGGAAATTCTGGAGTCTTCTCCAACAGAATTGACCTCTTTTGGTTGACATTATCAACCATCTAGCTGTGTTAAATGATCTCTCAGTGAACATGTTCACCGTAGTTACACAAAAGAACAGTGGTGTTTGCTCTCTGAGCAACATTGAGTCTCTGGGAAGCTCCTTTGGCAGGCAGGTAATGGGTCTAATCCATATCCCCCAAATTGCACAGATGAAAATTGAATCCATGATTTCTTTGCTTTCAAATGAATTAGTGGAGCAAATGTCTCATCTTATTGCAGTTGCTTTGAGCTGAATAGGGTTGTAGAGGTATCCTTGCCATCTATTTATTTATTTATTTATTTGTGTGTGTGTGTGTGTGTGTGTGTGTGTGTGTGTGTGTGTGTGTGTGTGTGTGTCTGAGTGTATGTTGGTACTGGGGCTTGAACTTAAGGCCTGGGCATTGTACCTGAGCTCTTTTGCTCAAAGCTAGCTCTCTACCACTTGAGCTACAGTTCCACTTCTAGCTTTTTGTAGTTAATTGGAGATAAGGGTCTCATGAAATTTTTCTGCCTGGGCTGGCTTTGAACTGCAATCCTCAGACTCAGTCTCCTGAGTAGCTAGGATTACAGGCGTGAGCTATCAGCACCCAGCTATTTATTGTTCTGACAGAGGTTTATGGGAAAGTCCACTGAGACATGACTGAGTCTAACTGACTATTGGAGTAAAATTGAATAATAGCTGGTACAGAGGACTGAAAGAGCTTAGACCTTGGGATTTTGTCTTCATAACAAAAGTTGCAATTTAGATCTCATGATTACAGTGTATAGCAAGAGTTGGAACTTAGAACTGGACCACTTGTTCCCTTTCTCTTCTTGTCTCCATCCAGTTCGTAATGCTTGTACCTCTTTATAGCAAGCATTCCCTTTGATCTGCAGTTGGGCTCCACACATTCAAGTCTCAGCACCATCTTCTTGATAGTTGAATGTTTTTTCTGGTGGAACATTGGCGTAGTCTGACACCATAGCCTCTCTGTTCCTGTGATAACCACGCTGTCCCTGGGCATACAGAGAATCTTTGCCCTTCTTGTACTGTGTTACTTTGTGAGGTTAGTGCTTGCCTCTCTCCTTTTTTTTTTGCCGGTCCTGGGGCTTGAACTCAGGATCTGGGGGCTCTTTGTACTCAAGTCTAGCACTCCACCACTTGAGCCACAGTACTTTTTCTGAGTGGTTTATGGGAATGAGTCTCACGGACTTTCCTGCCTGGGCTGGCTTTGAACTGCCATCCTCAGATGGATGCTAGGGTTACAGGCCTGAGACACTAGCCCCTAGCTTAATTTATTTTCTGGAACTGATTTTGAGGTTGTTTTTTCTTTTCTTCCAGAAAATCCACACACAGGAATGTTTTGAACAACTCAAATATCTGAAAATGATTTTCTGCTACTGTTCTGTGAAGTATAGTTTGGTTGGATCTAAAATGATAATGGCCTAATTGTTCTTCGGATATTCCTTCAAATGGTCCATTGTCCTTTAATTGTCAGATTTGTGGAGAAGAAATTTCATATCAGTTTTATAATTCTAGGGTTTTCATTTTGTTGTTGTTTGTTTGTTCAAGCCCCAAGACTGGGGTTTGAACTCAGGGCCTGAGCACAGTCCCTGGGCTTTGTTGCTCATGACTAGGGCTTTACCACTAGAGCCACAGCTCCTCTTCTGTCTTTTGATGGTTAAAGAGTTTAATGGACTTTCCTTCCTGGGCTGGCTTTGAATCATGATCCTCAGATCTCAGCCTCCTGAGTAGTTAGGATTATAGCCATGAGCCACCAGCTCCAGCTGCAAAGGTTGTTTTTAGTTTGAAAGAGTCACATAAATTGGATGCTTAGAGGCTGAACTTTGCTTTAAAAAACATAGAGATTGGGATTAGGAAGTTGGCTTAGTGGCTTAGTTGGCTTGCCTTGCATGCATGAGGCCCTGGGTTCAATTCCTCAGCATCACATAAGCAGAAAAAAGCTGGAAGTGGTGCTGTGGCTCAAGTGGTAGGGCACTAGCCTTGAGCTGAAGAGCTGAGGGACAGCGCCCAGGCCCAGAGTTCAGCCCCCACAACCGACCTACCCCTGCTCCAAACAAACAAAAAAACAAATAAACGTAGAGATGTTAGCTGGGTGCTGGTGGTCATCCGTGCCCAGCTTTAAGTGTTTATTTCTAAAATATGAATTCTGGGCTTTTGACTAGCGGTGTGTTGCTTCCCAATGCAGAGATCAACTGTGGCCATCCTCCAGAAGTGCAGAACGCCATGTTGGTGGGGAATCACAGCTCCGGCCTGGGTGGTGTGGCTTACTATGTCTGTCAAGAGGGCTTTGAGAACACTGGAGGAGAGATCACTTCTGTTTGCACGGAGAAAGGCACCTGGAGAGAAAGCACTTCAACATGCACAGGTACAGATTGCATTCTGCTGGGCCCCTGTTTCCTAGGAACAAAACAGCCAGTGTGAGCTCTGACCAAACCATCAGCAGGAGGCCTCCCTCTGTGTTCTGTGCCTGGCCCTGCGTTTCCTGGGTGGGCAATTAGCTTGATTTTTGTCAGCTAAATCCTTAAGATTTAGAAAGTGGATTAGAGAAACAAGTTGGATAGAAAATTTTATGTAGCCATCTTTTGGAACACCTTAATACATAAGGATTGCTATTTTCTCTTGGTTGGCTGAGAAATTTTTTTCATGAACCATTTTCTCAGAGGAGTATACTCCTAACTTGGCATATGCTCATATTGCAGCTTTGGAGATAAAAGCTGATGTGACAGAAGGGGTATAATAATAATAATAATAGTAATTATTATTATTATTTGCCAGTCCAGGGGTTTAAACTCAGGGCCTGGGTACTGTCCCTGAGTTTCCTTTTTGCTCAAGGCTAGCACTCTATCACTTGAGCCACAGTGCCCCTTCCAGCCTTTTCTGTTTATATGGTACTGAGGAATCGAACCCGGGGCTTCATGTATGCTAGACAAGCATTCTACTACTAAGCCACATTCCCAGCCCGAGAAGGGGATTTAAATGTTTATTTTCAAAATTAGCTGAGGGCTGGTAGCTCACTTCTGTAATCCTAACGTTTAAGGAGGTTGAGCTCTGAGGAGTTGCATGGTTGGAAGCTAGCGTGGGCAGGAAAGTCTGTGAGACTCTTATCTCCTATTACCAACCAAAAAGCCAAAAGTGGAGCTGTGGCTCAAGTAGTAGAATGCTAGCCTTGAGCCAGAAAGCTCAGAGACAGCTCAGGCCCTTAAGTTCACACACACACAAAACTTGTGTTAAAATACAAAGCAAAGCTGGGCGCCGGTGGCTCATACCTGTAATTCTAGCTACTCAGGAGGCTGAGATCTGAGGATCATGGTTCAAAGCCAGCCTGGGCAGAAAAGTCCTTGAGACTCTTATTGCAATAAACCACCAGAAAACCAGAAGTGGCACTGTGGCTCAAGTGGTAGGGAGCTAGCCTTGAACTGAAGAGCTGAGGGACAGTGCCCAGGCCCAGAGTTCAAGCCCCATGACCGACCAAAAACAAAAAACAAAAACAAAAAACCCACAAATCAAATTAAAGCACCAATGTAACTATTTATAAGTGTGTAATTCATAGCACTATATACAGTCTCATTATTGTACAACTTTTTATCTTTAAAAACAAATTCTGTACCCATTAAATTATTCCCCATTCTCCTTTCCCACTGCCTTTGACATGTTATTATTCTTATTTTGTTTCTTATGAAATTGACTACTCTCAGTAGTTTATATAAAAAAAAGTTGGATTGTCTTCTCAAGACTTGCTTATTCCACTTAGCATACATCTTTAGCTCTCTTTTTTAAGACTGGAGTTTGAACCTAATGGCTTTGCTAGGCAGGTACTCTACCACTTAAGCCATACCTCAAGCTCTTTTTTTTGCTTTAGGTGTTTTTAAGATCAAATCTTGCTTTTATTCCTGGGCATCCCTGAAGTGTGAGCCTTATATTCAGACTTGTTAGCGGGGGACAACAGTCACGTGCCACCATGCCCATCTTTTTCTGTTGAGATGGGGGTCGGGGAGCAATTTCATGAAGTTTTGGCCCAGATTGATCTCGAACTGTCATTTGCTCAATCTCAGCCTCCTAAGTAGCTAAGATTACAGGCAGGAGTCACCACACCTGGCTCACTCAGCATACTATCTTCAAGGCTCATCCATAATGTGTCAGGGATTTTTTGCAAGGTGGAAAAGTTTCCGTGTGTGTGTGTGTGTGTGTGTGTGTGTGTGTGTGTGTGTGTGTGTGCATCTGCTCATCCATCAATGGTGTGTGTGTGTGTGTGTGTGTGTCTGCATCTGTTCATCCATCAATGGATACCTCAGTTGCTCTCATTTTTTGGCTATTGTGTACAATGTTACCATGGAATCTGGGTGTACAAATATCTCTTTGAGACCCTGCTTTTAATTTTTTTAAATATATACCCGGAAGTGAAAAGCTTTGCGATCCACTTGAGTTCTATCAGTGCCATATATAAGACATGTATCATCAGGTAAGGCATTATGACCATCGGTCTCCTTGTCTGTTCAAAGGTGGAAATAAAGCCTGCCTTTCCTTTATCAAAACGTTTTTGGAGAGGAAGTCAGTTGAGCTCATGTATGGGGAGGATTTTGAAAAGTTTAAAGCGGCATGCACTTCAGTGCTTTTCTTAAATTGTTAGTCTCCCATGAAGATCTTTTCATGAAGCAGAGGAGCGCGCTTCCATGTGCTTTCCTTCCCTCCAAGCCATATGTGGGAACAGGCAACAATTCCTGACAATTTGTGACACTTGGCCAGGGAGTGTGACAATGCTTGTCACGTAGTCTTCAATGGCTCTGGGAATATATTTCTGCATGCTTATTTGCTTCGCTCTGAAGTTAGCCCTCAAGAGTAAAAATCTCAAGGATAGCATTGGCCTGGATCTCTGGATTGATTAGCAAGCAGAATTGTGGCAGAATACCTTGAATCTGACTAAAGTTTCCCATAGGAAAAGTCTAGCCAGCACAATCACCTCTGCTGTTTATTTATTCATCAAGCAATGATTCCTAGCCATTTTGGCGCTAGGACCTTAGTGAAATCCACCCATTTATTCACTAGATACTTAGCTAATATGCACTGTGTAAGGTAGTTTGTAAGGCACCTCTTCTTCTTTTTTTTTTTTTTTGGCGGTCGTGGGGCTTGAACTCTGGGCCTGGGCGCTGTCCCTCAGCTCTTCAGCTCAAGGCAAGCGCTCTATTGCTTGAGCTACAATGCCACTTCCATAGGCACCTCTTCTTAAAAACAGATGTTTCCCCCAAAGAAATGCACGTGCACATGAACATGTACTGTTTTGCAAAGAAGTTCAAGGAATTAATGATGCTCTGAAGTGCATGGATAAAGACAGCATCCTGGGGATAGATGGAAAACCCAGCTTTTCTGCCGAGGCCCCGTCTATACCATGCAATTCCTATGTTCACTTGTCACCAGTTTCAGAAGCAAAAACAATGAGACTTCAGATATAGTTCAGCCTTGCTTTAGAGAGGTCTCATTGACTTGCAGAGTAGCAAGAGCAAACCTTTAATGAGCAAGGACTTCAGGGTCCCAGTTTTACTAACAGGAAATTGAGATGAGCTGACAACCTTAGTGGACCAGGCTGATGCTTACATCAACCTATGACGACATCTCTATAAGTACTTCCAAGTGTGACTTGGAGAAGTTGAGGCCTGTGTCTCTGGGAAGAATTCCCCATGGTGTGACTTGGTAAGAGCTGGATATAGTGGTGGACCCTCAGCTTTTTGCTCCCTTGCTCCAGCTTCTCTGCCTCCATCATTCAGAAATCAGTGGGGGCACAAGGATTAGTCACTCCATGAGAAACCAGTGGATCTGCATGGGGCATAGTAAGCTATTAATTAGCTGATCCTTGTAGAGCACTTTGAAGAACAAACATGTTATGTAACTGCTAATTACAATTACCGTCCTCAGCCCGCCACCTTCCACAGAGCGTGTGGTTCCAGCTGCAGCTGCTTCCACAGGCTTAGGCGGGCTTTGATTTAGAGAAAGAAAAGACATTTTCCCTGTGAGCTGGGATCTTTCTGTGAGGAGGCCTCTGTGCCCTCACTCAGGATTGGCAGCTAAATTCAATTTCCGTTGATAAAGGGGGTGATCTGCATGCTGATTAATTCATGGTGCCGGGCAGATGAGCTAGGGGTGTGGTGGGGGAGGTGGGAGAGGCTTAGAGATACTGATTCCTGGGGCTCTTCCTCAGCTGCCCCCCTCTCCCTCCTTTTCCATGTGGTTGTCCCCCAGGTCTCCTCTTCACCCGCAATCCCCGGTCCCTCAGTGTTTCTAGTTGCCTTCCTCAGTGTTTGCTTTTGGCCTTCTTTCTCTTCCTCTTCATTACCTCCTGTCTCTAATTTCATTGTTTATCCCACTTTCTAGACTTCCATGTTTAGTTCCAAACTGGGTTTTGCAATCTTTATCTGGACTGATTTTAATTACCTTAAAAACATGTTTTTGGAGCCCCAGTTTCTTCAGATTGGTAGCATAGGTCTGTAACATATTTTTTTAGAGTGTGAGCTTTTTTTTTTTTTTTCTTGAAGGCCAGTTCGTACTGGAAACTCCAGACAGCTGGGAATTAGGCAACTGCTTTAGTGTCTGGAAAAACCCCAGGTGGAAGCTTGATGTTAGTGAGTTGGTTTACCTCAAGATCAAAGAGCTGATTCATTCTTGATAAGGCTGGCCCTGGCTTCCATTCTGCACAGGTCATTTGGCTTTTCATGTTTAGAGTCTGAGTTAATAATTATACGGTTGCTCACTCCTTGCTCTGAGAAGGGTCACTTCTCTATTGGAGCAGACGGTTTCTCTGTCAGCCAGGCTTTCCACACCCTTCCCTGCCCTGGGCACTGTTGCTAGGGCTCCCTGTTGAGTGGCGGACTGTCTTCTCCAGCTCAATGAGCGCTCACTCGCGGCTCCACACATTTCTGATGGAAAAGAAAGGTCAACTGGCATAAATCGGCACATTTATGCAAATAGGTTGTGTCTGAGTCTGTGTATGAAGTGTGGACCAGCAAGCTTTATTGCTATTGCTGACAGAGCATCAGCCTCCACACCCAAGGCTCTCCTCGGAGCCTTAATGATTGATTGTATTTCATCCTCAGGCAAACCCTGTGAAATATCATTTTCATTTTGCAGATGAGTAATCTCAGATTTAAAAAGGTTAGGCCACCTTCTCCGTGTCATCAGTGACTAAGAAGTGATACAGTTACGATGTGAACTCAGGTCTAGAAGCCCTGAACATCCATACTCTTTCTCCTTACATCTTATCTCTCAAAATTCAATGATTTGCCTACTGTCCTGATAATGTTTGCCATAGCAAGAGTATTATTTATTTAACATATTCTTAACACACACATATACACCCCAATTAAGCACCAAAAAAGC